CACTGCATACTGAGGACATGACTCTGTATTCAGGTTCAATAGATGACTCGGAAACCATTTGATGTTTCTTGCATTTTCAAGATATCAAAGAATCACCAAGGAATATACACCAACCAGAACGACGAGTATTAGGGCAACCTACCCAATCTACATCTGCATAAGCTCAGAGTTGTGTGGATGAAGAGGATGAGAAAAATAAGCCACGTGATAGTGTACCCTGTACATAACGAATAATCCGGAGAACTACAAAATAGTGAGGGGCTAACGTCGAGTAGAAACAAATTGACTCACAATCTGAACCGCATAGGAAATGGACGGTCTAATCATGGTTAGGTAGATAAGACTACCTACAAGTTGTCGATACAGGGTAGCATCAGGGAGGAGATCACCCTCATCTTTACTCAACTTATAGTTAAGCTCCAGAGGTGTATCAACATGTTTGGAGTTAGCCAAGCGAGAAAGAGTCACCAAATCAGAAGCATATTTCTGTTGGTTGACAAAGTAACCATGATGACATCTTTGAATTTCAAGTCCAAGAAAGTATGTTACTGGCCCAAGATCTTTTATTTTGAAGGAGTTACTAAGCAGAAGTTTGAGTTTGTTAATATCATCTACATCATCTCCAGTAATAAGGATTTCATCAACATAGACCAAAAGAAGAGTCAACACCTGAGCTCACTTGAGTGTGAAAAGAGAGTAGTCTGAAGCACTTTGCTGGAAACCAGCCTCCAATACTAGACGGGCCTTTTGTACGGAAGCGATCAAACCAAGCTGGTGGAGCTTGTTTAAGACCATATAGGGATTTCTTCCGTTTACACACCAACTGAGGATTGTCACAGTAGCCGAGAGGTGGTTGCATATAAACTGTCTCTTGTAACTCTCCATGGAGGAAAGCATTCTTGACATCCATCTGATGAATTGTCCATTGTTTGAGAGCAGTAATGGCTACCAGCAAACGAACTATTGTCATTTTGGCCATAGGCACAAAAGTTTCATCATAGTCAATTCCATACTCTTGCTTGTAGCCTTGAGCAACTAAACGGGCCTTATATCTGTCCAGAGTACCATCATATTTGAGTTTCACGGTGTAAACCCACCGGCTACTGATTATGGAGGCATCTGGGGGAGGAGAGACAAGATCCCATGTATCATTCTCCAATAAAGCCTGAACCTCTAAATCCATAACATCTTTCCATTGCTCAACTGCTACGGCCTTGCTGTATGACTTAGGTATATCTGTAGATGACAAAACAGCTGAGAAGGAGCTATGACTAGAAAAGAAGCCATAGTGATCAGGTGGACGAGAAATACGAAATGACCGATGCAAAGGAATAGATGAAGGTAAATCCTTAGGAGGAGAATCTGCACTTACAGTAATGGTGGATGGAGAGGAATGACCAGACATTATTGCTTGAGATGGAGGAGGCATAGGTAATGGGCGCATTGGATGCTTCCTGAAGTACGTCTGAAGAGGCTGAAGAGAAGGAGAATCACCTATAGATCTAAAGTCATGTAGAACAGAAATGGATGGTGCAGGTAATTTACAAGGAGATGAACACAAATAAGCAGACTTACTAGCTAGTCCAAAAGCAGAAAAAACAAAAAAAATAGCTGAAGACATGAGCTCACGAATCTTTCCTTCAGTCAAATTTCCCTGAGCATCTGGCTTGTGAGATGATGATGAGGTGGTAGTATCAATAGAGACAAATTCAGTTGAGGCTTGATAAGCCTTATGTTGTCCTTTCTTGGAAGGCCTAGTCAGACATTCCACTATAATGTGTCCTTGTTGTTTGCAGTAGGTACAAAAGTTTTTCTTCTTGTAGTGGGATACCATGTGACCATATTCTTTGCATTCATAACACTGCATCTTCGAGAAGTCTTTCTTACCCTTCTGTTTGGTAGCCAAAAACATTGTTTCAATCCCATGTTCCTTCTTCTGGTCCAATGCAGACAAGGTAAGAAGACGAGTTTCCTCCCTTAACAACTCTCCAAGAATTGCATCAAGTTCAGGAACCGGTTCTCTACTGAGAATACTGTTTTCATAATTAGGCCTAAGCTGCATCAAAAAGTGCATGGTCTTTCTCTTACTGAGATGTTTCTTCATAATCTTCACACAACAGTCTGTAGATAGATCCCCAAAGTGAGCCAATTCGTATTCAGTCCAGAGATTTACATATCCTACATAGTATTCCTGAATCCGCTTCTCCCCTTGAACATAGGAGAAGATATCAATTTCAATATGATATTGCCTAGACATATTCGATTGCTAATATACATTTTTAAGGTATTCGAACATGTCATGGGCTGATTTGAGACCTCTCATCGGAATATTGACATCCATTGAGATAGACCAAGTATCCATGAAGTAATTTGAGCATTCTCAGTTCTCCATTGTTTCAGCCTTTTGACATCACTGGCATCAGGCAAGGAAGTGGAACCATCAATATAACTCCACATGCCTTTCCCTTTAACAAAATATTGAAAATGAAACTAGTAGAGAACATAGTTGCTCCCATCGAACTTGACAGAAATAAATTCATTCTTTTCTAGAGCCATAATGAAAGGGAGACAAAGTAAAGACTGATCAAATCAAGCAATAAAGTAGTAATCAAACTAAGAGAGTCAAAGAAACTAATAATAGAAACCTCTTACGATCACCAAAAATTGTCCAAGTTCCAGCAATTGGAGAAAACTGGATACACAGTGCAAAAAAGGAAAGTCTGGATGTAGCCGCCCAGAAGAGATGTATAGATCTCTCTCAAAACTTCTCGGATCTTGATGAAAAAGTCAGAATATGATGAGAGGGACTAGGCGACACTTCCTTTCAATTCTTACTACAAACTAATGCCATATGAGAGAGATCTACTGAAATCTCTCTTACTAGATGCACAAAACACATAGAAAAGGTCTCTAGAGAGATCGAAACAGTCCAGAGTCAACCGGCAATGATTATAGTTCTCAAACTCATCCAAAAAGAAGAGATAAGGATCAGAGAGCAGCTTGCTCTGATACCATGTCAGTTCATGAGAAGGCGAAATAGCAAGAGATGAGACAAAGGTTCAAATCTGTTAGGGTTTATCAATCAGATCGAATCAACCCAGAAAAGAAGTATTTATATTAATCTTAGGTAAATGGACAAGATTGCCCTTACAAAGAGAATAAAAGAGCTGTACACTAAAGTAAACGCCTATTACAGTACAAGAAAGAATAATAAAATACAGCAGAATTACAAAACTACCCTTCATCTCTTCTACAATTTATACTTCTCTTATGAAAACTATGGATAATTATTAAGGAAAGATAATTATAGAACCTAGGGAACTACACTAGGATATAATGTTTTACTTAAAAAAAAATTCCATCACCTAGGCAACTAAGCGACAAGGCGCCCTCTGTCGCCTGGCCTCGTCTTGGCACCTTGAAAACTATGGATAGTGTCATAGGGCCTACAAATTGAAGAATGATGTAAATAATCTATGACAAGGGGAGAAGCCCTTAGCTGTTACTTCTCCATGCTGAAATCTCTTTGAACTCTATCACTCCTATCTCACATGTCCCCGTTTCAAGTATTTAGTTAAATTATTCTCTGCAAAGAAAATTGGTATTAAGTTTAGGCATATGAAGAACAAATGATAAGCTTAGGGCATGTGATGTCTTGATGTCTTGATGTCTTCCTTTCCTGTGATAGGGGCAAGAGAGCCGTCAACAAGGAATGTTTTGTCTCAGTTAGAAAGGAGTTGGTCAGTGGTGAACAAGTATGAAACACTAGTCATGTGGTCAGAGGCACCAAAATCAATTATCCAAGGGATTTTATGAGTACTTGAGATAGAAGCATGATTTGCAGTAACACGAATACCTGAGTGTGCATATGGAAAAGAAGGAATTGTCTTAGATGAAGTAGATGCTATAGCAGTAGATGCCCTCTTGCCCCTATCACAAGAAAGGTAGGCATCAAGACATTACATGCCTTGACCTTGTCATCTGTTCTTCATGTGCCTAAACTTAATAACAATTTGCTTTCAGTTAGTAATTTAACTTAATCCTGAATTGTAGTTAAATTACTAACTGAAATCTCTTTGGCCTCCACCACTCCTACCTCATGAAGGACTCTTCAAGTTGCTAGAAAAACACAACATGCTGAAAGTGCAAGTTCCAAGTGGGGTTGCCATTTTTTTTTTTTTTGTGTGCAAGGACAATGTCTACTGAAGATTCAATTATCTCAGAAGTCACTGAAAGTCAAAATATGATCAGTTCAGGTGCTAAAAGTTGGGGTTTCCCTGTGGTATTACTATCCTAGATGGACTGAATTTTTTTGGGTAGTCAAAAAGTGTAAACAGCATCAATTTATCCTATCTACAGTCTCCCACAAACTAAGGCTGTGAAAACAGCATCAATTTATCAACTAGATAATCATGGAGTGCGTAAGTCATAGCTTTAGTGATATGATCTGCTAAGTACTGGTCTCAAATTAAGTAACAATCAACCTCAGTGTGTTGGTTCATTCATGAAAAACTGCATTAGATGCTATCCTTGTAGCACTAGTGTTGTTAGCATGCAATGCTGAGGATGCTGAAGGAGTAGTCAGATCAATAGATAAGTCCTAGAAGAGACCTCTATGCCATATGAGTTTGCTGCATATTGAGGTCATAGAACCATACTCAGCTTCATCAATCGATTTAGAAACAACATCTTGCTTCTTGGATTTCCAAGAGATGAGAGGATCACCAAGAAATCTACACCAGCCTGTGGTTGATCAACAAATATTTGGGCATCCAGCCCAGTAAGCATCTGCATAAGCACATAGCTGAGTAGGGGACGAAGATGAGAAGAATATTCCTCTAGATGGTGCTTCTAAGATATCTAATGATACAATTCACAGCTGTCATATAAGAGCAGAAAGAGAAAATACAAATTGACTAACAACCAGAACAACATAGAAGATGTTTGATTTAAATAAAATGGTTTATTTAAATAAAAAAATAAAAAGATCTTCTTAATACCTGGGTAAGATGGTTTTCTTTCTGCAAAGCATACAAAGCTCCTCTAGCATAAGTTCCCCAATCGCATTCCTCATAGGTTTTGGATGAATCATTTTCATGTACCTTGTTGTTTTCACTAGCAGCAGACCTTGGGTGTTGAACCTCATCAACTCTATAAGGCCCAAAATTTACAATACAGTAATGTAAATTTAGTCAAAGGCTATGGACTATAGTTCATGAATAAGAGATGATAGAATGGGAAGCATGAATGCAAGTTATACTATTCTATGAGCATTTTCGCAATTATCTAAAGCATCTAGGAAATAAGGGAGAACTGCAAAGTTGGAAACCATTATAAATGATATAAGGAAAATTTACATTCAGCAACTTCTTTTTTAGTAAGTGGAAAAGAAATTTACTAATGAAAAAAGAGTACAAGAAAGAAGATGATGAAGAGTCAGCATAAAAAAGGGTCTTAGAAATATAATACAAAATAAATCCCTTTGTGTCATCTATTACAACATCTAATAAAGACCAATAATCTTATCCAAAGATAAAGATGAACAATCAAAAATAACTCCAGCAGCAGCATCAACCAATTCAAGATGAGGGAACCAACGTCAGCAACCAATCTTCTATCATACTACTTTCCTTCAAATATTCTATTCTTCCCTTCTTTCAAAATCCACCAAAGATCACAAAAGGCATGTTAATGATCATCATCATCATCCTCTAAGCCATTATTAAAAAAGTGTGTACAACATGCCTAGCATCGTATTGATTAGGCTGGAAACCATTATTAAATTGCTTTATTTTCTAAAACATCAGCGAGATCATTGACCATTCTTGGTACCTATATGAACTCAGTCTCTAGCTCCCTTGATAATGGTTTTATTTTCACCATAGGTCAGATAACTAAATATTATCTGTTAAAGCCTTAAATTTTGTTGGATCTTGTTACAACCTGAGAAAAAAAGGGAAAAAAGAGGAGAAAAATAAGAGATAAAGGTAGAGAAAGCTGTCTTGTACAGTAGAGAACAAGAAGAAAGTGAAATGAGATAGAAAAAGAGTCTAAAGGAAGAGGATACAAACTGTCCTCTTCTCCTTGTCAACCTGCACCATGTCAAGAGACTAAGATGCCCCTTAGAGGCATACATTTCAACACTCTTCAATCTAAAGCATAGGTATCATAGAGCTCCAGCTTGTTTCAAATATAATCCATCCTGGTACAGCACAAGCTCTTGGTAAACAAATCTACCAGCCGATTTCTGAAAGGACATAAGGAGTAACAACATCACCATTTGCCACCTTTCCTCTTACAAACTGACAATCAACTTCTATATGCTTGATCCTCTCATGGAAGACCGGATTGGAAGCAATATAAATAGCAGCTTGATTATCACAAAACAATTTGATAGACTTTCCTATAAGAATACCTTTCTCTTGAAGTAGATGTTTCAGCCATATCAACTCACAAGTGGGTGGCCCATTATTCTATACTCAGCTTCAGCACTGCTCCTAGAAACTACATTTTGCCTCTTACTTTTCCAAGTAATGAGATTGCCACACAAAAAGGTGCAGTACCCTATAGTATACCTCTTGTCTATTGACGACCCTGTCCAATCTACATTGGAATATCCCTCTAAGGTTAATTCTCTCCCTTTTCTTGTATAGTAATCCCTAGCCTAGAACATATTTTAGATATTTCAACACTCTTACAACACCTTCCCAATGAATGACTATGGGATTCTGCATGAACTGACTCAAAAACCTTACACTGAAGGAGATATCTAGATGGGTGATGGTGAGATAAATCAATTTTCCAATTAATATCCTATGCCTTTCGGGATCACTGAATGGATCCCCCTGACTATTAGTCATTTTCACATTAGGATCCATAGGGGTCTCAACTGGTTTGACCCCTAGATGGCTTGCCTAATCCATCAAATCTAAGACAGACTGGCATTGTGACATGGAGATTCCCTACTTCAAGAGGGCTACTTCAATACCCAAGAAATATTTCAAGGATTCTAAATCCTTGGTTTGAAAGAGTTGTTGCAAAAATTGTTTTAAACCATTAATTCCACCAACATCATTGCTAGTAATGACTCTGTCGTCTGTAGTGAGAATGGGCAAAATGGGCCTTAGTGACTTTATTTCTTTTAAGTTATGTTTAAGTTTATGTTCTTTTAGTTATGGGCTGTAATCATACGAGGAAGAGGAATAACAGAGAAGAGAGAGAGAGAGAAGAGAGGAGAGGAGAAGAAGAAGAAGAAGAGAAAAAGATATGAAGGGTCGAAAAGAATTGGAGCTGGCAGCACCCAGCTTCCCTTTTATTTAAAAGTCTTATAACAATTCTAAGAAATTGCAAATAGGCCCCTGGCACCCTGGCAGCACACCCTAAACAAAAGAAAAGAACATGCTACCAGCAATCTAAGCTAACAGCATTGTAACAACATGAATAAGGAAAAACAATTTAAAACTAACAACATGGGCCTTTTCCTTGTTTGTTTTATTAATTCTTCTGTGCTGTCTGCCCTGTTAAGGGCATCTAAGGGGACTATAGAAGGGAGTGAACATCTTCTCTTCTCTCTTCCTTTCTCTTCTTCCACAACCTTTTGCTGAAATCATTCCTTCTTCCTTTCTTTTCTTTTCTATGTTTTTCTGAACTATTGCAGGTGTATTTCACAATTTAGTATCAGAGTGGGTTCTCAACTTCAACATCTTTCTCCTTTCTTAGCCCATACACAATGTGTATGGAGAACTGATCGGCTTATCAATTAGCAGCTTATGTAGCCAAGTTAGGAGGGGTTTTGGAGAGGTTTTGTGGAGACTTTAATCATTAGTTGAAGCCCAAGGCAAGTTCTTGGAGTTTTTTTTTCCCGAAAACCATAGATAGCTAGAGAAATCTTGCTACAGGTCCTAGAGACACTTTGAAGCTGGCGGTTGGGGATCAAAAGGAAACTCCCGGAAATGGAACACTGTTTGCTAAACATAGCCATATGAAGGTAGAGGCATATATAGATGCTGATTGGGCAGGTAATGTTGATGATAGGAGGTCCACATCATGGTATTGTGCTACGGTAGCTGGGAATATTCTTTCCTGGAGGAGTAAAAAGCAGTCAATGGTTGCTAGATCTACAATTGAAGCAGAATATAAGGCTATGGCCCATGAGGTTTCTGAGTTGTTATGGCTTAGATCTCTCCTTGATAAGTTGGGCGTCTCATGTGACAAGCCACTGATGTTATATTGTGATAACCAAGCTGCTATTAACATTGCTCACAACCCAATTCAGCATGATAGAACTAAGCACATTAAGGTAGTCAAACACTTTATACGGGAGAGAGTGGCTTTAGGAGAGGTGTGCCTTCCCTTCATTGCATCAGAAGAGCAGCTAATAGATTTCCTGACTAAGGGAATTCCAAAGGCAAAGCTTCAGCATTATGTATGCAAGCTGGGCATGATTGACATCTATGTTCAGATTGAGGGGGAGTGTAGTGAGAATGGGCCAAATGGGCCTTAGTGGTTTTATTTCTTTTAAGTTATGTTTAAGTTTATGTTCTTTTAGTTATGGGCCTTTCCTTTGTTTGTTTTATTAATTCTTTAGTGTTGGCCGCCTAAAGGGCATCTAGGGAATTGTACTCTTTTTTAGATTTAGAAATAAAATACATCTTGAGGTGACTAGAGAAGGGATTGAACATCTTCTCTTCTCTCTTCCTTTCTCTTCTTCTTCCACAAGCTCTTGCTGAAATATTTCCTTCTTCCTTTCTTTCTTTTCTATATTTTTCTGAACTATTGCAGGTGTGTTTCACAACTTCATCAATTGTAATTGTGGTTCAGACTTAATAGAAGGCTTGTAGTATTAGGTTTAGCAAAAGAAGCCAGTTAGACAGGAAAAAAATCAACTTTAGCCCAATCGACCCATATTTATAGATTTACTAAATATGGGTACAAAGACTAATGTGCCCCTAATTTAGTATGTGCCATACAACTTAAAGACCAACAAAAAAGACATTATACTCTATAATAAAAGATATAAAGGCTAGAAAGGGGCCACCATAAGTTGGTTGTTAACATCACATACACTACCAAAATGATCTTCCCAAATGTGGTATCCTTACTCAAAATTGAATGATCAACTTCACATTGCTTGAGACCAAACTCCTATACAACACTACTAAACCTACCGAACCAAGCCCGTGGTGACTACTTAGTTCATAAATTGCTTTGCACAACTTACATACCTTTCCAACCTCCCCTTGAGCAACATACCCAGGAGGTTACTCCGTATACACCTCCTCTTGAAGGTTACCATTAAGAAAAGCATTCTTAACATCAAGTTCATACAAGGGCCAATCAAAATGGGCAGCATGAGTGTGGCGAAATATAGAGGGAGAGAGAAAAGAGAATTTTCTTTATTGATAATAAAAACATGTTGAGCATACAACTTAAATAAGAAAAGATAGGAAAGGCAGACCCCTAGAATCTCTCGCAATCAGGGATTGACTAAATCTTTCCCTTAATCCTAGG